TATATATATATATATATATATATATATATATTCTTATAGGCGTGCAGTGGTGTTCTAAAATGAGGAGGCAAAGTTCTCACATTTTTTAAATTTTTTTATTAAATGTAAATTCATGTTCCAGTCACATTTTCTTGGTTAAATAAACATTACTTACACTACCAGAATAAAAAATATATATTGTATTTTTACATTAACAATGCAATACATAGGCTATACTATATACTAAAACCAAGTATAAATCTCATCAGTTTAGTGTTTTTAAACATTTTACATTTATTCAAAAATAATAACTCAGTAACGATTTAAAAAATATATATTTTTAAAACAATTATATATTTTATTTATGAACTGATGTTCAGCTGTTCTTTTTCATAATAAACTTATTTTCGGATCATCAGTCATCAGATCTCTGTAAACACTGGTCACAGACGCGGAGATGTAGCTTTGAACGAGCTGATTGCTCACTAAAAAAACCCACAGATCATGTTTGACTTGACAAAGTGGTTATATCTAAGTGTGTGAGTTGTTTACTTGCTTTCTTTAATTAGTCTTCCTATTAACACCATAATATTGGTCATTCAGACTGATTTGCAAACACAAGAGGCGGGATTTATTATATGAACCAATCATAGCCGATCATAACCAGTCATATACAATCATATCGTGATGGAGGCATTGGCTCTTCTCACGTGACTTTCCCAATTCATTCTCAATTACCCCCCACCAAACCCACCGCACGCTTTAGGGGGTCTGTTAAAACTCAATGGGCTCAGGAGAGGCGAGAGAAACGCGGACTCCCGCTGTAACTTTACCTGCTGGTGTAGCTGTTGGACAGTTTTAATTTAGAAAAACAAGTGATTTATATGCTGTTTATGTCATATTTTGTAATATTTGCGTTGTTTTATTTTTGTACTATTAATTTTTTCTCATCCAATTTTTTGAGGAGAGACTGCCTCCCTTGCTTCTTCAGAGGAAATGCCCCAGAATATATATATATATATATATATGTATATATATATATATATTAGGGGTGTAAAGGCCTGTTCACACCATAACTATAAAGATAACGATAAAGATATAGTTCTAAAAATCATTCTCTATATTAAAGAATAGCAGCATCCACACCACAGCTATAACGATAAAGTCACAGAGAAACGATATAATTGGAATCACTTTCAGAACGATTTTTTCCAGCTGATGAACGATAAAAAAATTTACAGCCAATCAGAATCAATCCTGCTATGACGAGCTCGAGAATTTAAAGCAGCAGACGAGAGTGCGCTTGGAATTAACAGACTATATCGTCCTCTGGTGTGAATGCTAATATAGTTATCTTTATAGTTATCGTTCTTAATGTGAACGGGCCTTAACAGTACACAGAAGTCACAGTTCGGTACGTACCGCAGTTTTGGGGACACGGTTCGATATGAGTTCGGTACAACAGGAAATGTATTTTTTTTTTTTTTTTTTTTTTTTTTTTTTTCTTCTGCTCACCAAGGCTGCATTTACAAGAACGGTGGATTATAAAATAATATAGTGCCGTGAATTCAAATGTGTTACTTCTCTCTGACCCACTTTCTTTTTGACACTCATTATCTGACACCTAAACCTGGGGCGCAGCACGAACAGAAAAATTACGGAATGGGTAAGTGTCAGTAGATTTGTGTCAAAATCCATTTCCATGAAACTTTCTAAAATTGACTAATAAAAACGCCAGCCACAAAATGGGATTAGTAATGGGGTTATTAATATTAATTTATTTATTTTGAAAATACAGTAGTGCTACATGCATGTAGCATGAGCAGTTGTTTTTTATTTTAATCAGATTGTATAATATCAAGAATGGTCTGAATTTAGATTTGTGAAATTATGCTACATACGACACCTGCACAAAACAAAAACAGCAGACGGACTGAATGAAAATGCAAATGTATTCTCTGACAGCAGGTGGTGCTTATGGAACAGTAGCGATGTAGAGTTTCCTTGGTTACTGCTGTAAACAAAGCAGCTGCACTTTTAAACACTACTTTAATGTGCATTATATGGAGGTAAGAGGAAAAGAAAATGCCATCAAAACATTTTTGAAGATGGTCAGTTCCTCTCAGAGATACATTAATATAAACCCCCACATATTTGTCTTTCTATATTTCGAGCATCGCGAACAGTGAGCTTGATCTGCCTGGTACAGTATTTTCTCCTCTTTACAGACTTTAAAAAATTCCACACAAATTACATTTTGGAAAATGATTGCAATGCAGTTTGTGTGCAATTATGGAATACATATCAGCCAAAATAAAACTAAAAACCGGTTCCAATTTATAGCCAGTTGACCAGTGCATCTCTAGAACCCGAAACTTTCACACATTGCTCATTTAAAACAAGCAGGCAGTTCTTCGAGCCCTTGCATGCCACCTGAACTCGCCATTGTTGTTTGGGGTTGGTGCGTAGATCATCTCTTCTTCTGCTCTTTCCTGTTGTGACGGTTAGCGTTGCATTACCACCCGTGCCCCCTTCTGGACTGATCGCCCATGATATATATACAGTGGGTACGGAAAGTATTCAGACCCCCTTAAATTTTAAGACAAAGAAGTTATTTTATTCCAAAAATGTAATTTCCACCATGCACAGAATGTTATCAAACCAGTTACGCATTTGCATGTATTTTCACTGGTGGACATTGTTAGTCAAATTGAGTGTATTTTAATGGTGTGTATTTGCTAAAAGTCTGCAGAGACAAAAGTGTCCATGAAACACCCACATACTGTACATGCTCAACACAAGTCAAGAACTTTTTCTCTTAGGTGTCGAAATGAAAAGGTGCTTGGGTTGTCACAGTGGTCTAACATGGCATGTCCCATGGCTACTGTTCCTGTTTCAAACCCCAGTGATACAATGCTTAGGTCAGACGATGCCAGAAATAGATGCACCCATGGTCCTGAGTGTGAAGCAATCTCAATCACTTCAGTTATTCCCATGGAGCACATTTCAGCTAATCTGAAGAATATATTGTAGCCTGCACATTTGTTAAGCTCCCGTGGTTATAAATTATAAGCAATAGCTTAAAGAAGCATATGGTTGCCTTTATTTGCTTCAATGGAAAAACAGTCTAGCCTTCAGATGGGGAAAAATACTTCTAATTATCTCCTACATGTTTCTGTTGTTGCTTGCAATGGAAGCGGAGTGTGAAAATGTGACTTTTCATTCTATCATCTGCTCTCTTTCTCTATCGACTCTCCAGCCCTGAAGGATGCTCGATTCCAGCTGGTCAATTTCTCAGACAACGAGCTGCGTGTGTCGTTATCCAACGTGTCTCTCTCAGACGAGGGAAGATACGTGTGCCAGCTCTATACAGACCCCCCACAGGAAGCCTACGCCGACATCACTGTGCTAAGTATGAACACTCATGCATGCATGTACACAATATACAATACACACACAGTCATTTATATTTTTTAGTATTTAGTCTGTTTTGTTATTGTCATTATTGTTTTATATTTTTATAAATTTTATAAAATTTTATAAATTATTATTATAATATACTCTAAGACACCATGTTAAGTTAAAAGTAGTTCAGCTCTAAAAATAACTCATCTCAAGACACCTGTGTTTTGTTCCACCTGTGCCTCCAGGTCAAGTTGTAGCCTACATTTCATATTTTAAGCATAATATAGGTCTAACTTATGACTTTAATATATGGCTGTGAAAATAAATCTGCATTGTTTATCCTTTTGATCTTTCATTTATTTATTTTTTAAATCATAAAAGTTCAACCTTTTATCAAGGTAAAACAATAGATTTTTTTAAGTGTTTTCAAACTTGGTCCTTTTAAAGGGGTCTGAGCACGGTTTGCTGAATTTTTGGCCCATATGTGAACGCTCCAAACGATCTCAGACCCTTTAAAGCGAACAGAGCCAAGACCATCTCGGGAGGTGGTCTGAGTACAGTTCGTTCTCAGATATTGATAAAATTCTCTAAAAACATGCATTGTGAACCCAAACTGCTACGGACTAGCTTGATTTTTTTTTTATCTGTTGGCATTTGATAAAATCCAGGATGCCATGTATCTGAACAAGCTGTCCAGGACCTCCAGCAGAAAAACAGGTCCACAACATTAAAGATCCAACAGTATTTTTAACCGTAGACATGGGGTACTTTTTTTTTTATCTTACTGTGCACCAAACCCATCTTGTGTGTTTGCTGCCAAAAAGCTTTTTTTTTTTCTCCATCTGACCATAGAACCCAGTTCTATTTGAAGTTCCATTAGTGTCTGGCAACTGAATATGCTGGAGTTTGTTCTTGAATGAGAGCAAGGGAATTTTTCTTGATACACACACACATATATATATATATATATATATATATACACACACACACTATATATATATATATATATATATATATATATATTAGACTATAGAACATATTTATATATAGAATATAAAATCTTCCCACTTGTGGTCATGACCCCAAGGTTGAAACCTCTGGATTAGACAAACCTGAACCTGTTGTTTTGACTGTCAGATTTCCCATAGGGCACTTGGCGCATAAACAAACACCCACAGACACACACACACGTAGGGCTTCTTTGTTTCTTGAGAAATCCTTTTATGATCAATCACCAGAGTGGAGCAGCTTTTGTGAGATGCTGCAGCAGTGTAGAATCAAGATATAGCCATTCATCTTCGCCTAACAGAAGGCCAGAGACGTGGCCAAGTCAGATCCTGAGCACCGAGTCATTCATTTTTCAGAAGGGAGCCGTTACACCACATGTATGCACACACGCTTTCACTGCTGTTTGGAGGGGCTGCTGAAAGCCCTCTAAAAACTCAACAAACACTTCACCTGCTACTTCCTTTGAGGACTCAGCTGCATGGTGGAGCCATTCAATGGAATTATTGTTTATGTGTTTGTGTGTGTGTGTGTCTTTGTGTACATGTGAACGCTTTGCTGCGTTCTGCGTCTTGACATAACTGCATGGAAAAATCACCCACACTTAAAAGTGATTATTCCGTTTTGAGAGCAGAGTTTAGTGCGGGGTGGGTATTGAGGGAGTGGGATTGTAGAGAGCACGCTGAATGCGTTTGAGTGGCTGGCTTCACAGCTTTAGACGACCGAGTTGAAGCAGAATGCTTGAATGGAACCCTGCTGCTCGGGGAGAACAAGAAACCTGAAATACCCTGTCCAAAAGATGCCACACATTTATGCCAGATTGCTAGAAGCCTAGGATTTCGGTGACCTTTTCAGGTAAGCATTTTAGGCATTGTGAACCCTCCTGGAAGTAAGGACCACTGAAAGTGAGCATGTCTTTTGAAAACACTGTTATCACGGTATATCCAACTGAGCACCAAAATGAAAAGGAAAGCCTTTAGAGATGTGTTACAATATGCCTATGAACATTCCCAATTATTCAGGTCAGTGTACAATGTTCTAGCAGATTTATTCCAGTCTACTGGATGTGTTGCTTTCTGTTACACAAGATGGTTCGCCACTATTCACGGTGTAGTTATCCGTGTCTCATCAGAGTAGATACTTTGTCAGAGTACACTCCTTTATGTCTTTTGTAAAAGAGAATGAATACACTCACCTCTTTATCTTCTATGACGTGTCCATCCCTCAGTGTTAGCATCTGTGTTGGCTATCAGTGCACTATGGACTAAATGTGACTCTAGTGGTGCTTGATTTACAGACCGCCTTGAAAATCTGTCTATCCTCTCTCAGTCCCACCAGGAAACCCAATCATAGAGTCCCGCGAGGACATTGTCAGAGAGGGTAACGAGACAGAGATAACCTGCACCTCCATGGGCAGCAAACCCGCTGCAACGATCAGATGGATGAAAGGAGACAAAGAGCTACAGGGTGGGTCAAGTCGCATTGTGTACACACAAACAAACCAGGTGTTTACCAGGTTTGTTTTCACTTTGCCTGGCATCCCACAGAGTGAGTTTTTCCCAGTGCACTGTCATCTGAGACTTTATGTATTAAAAAGACAAACACTTAAAGGGTTACTCCACCCCAAAATGAAAATGTTGTCATTAATCACTTACCCCCATGTCGTTCCAAACCCATAGAAGCTTTGTTCGTCTTCGGAACACAATTTAAGATATTTTGGATGAAAACCGGGAGGCTTGTGACTGTCCCATTGACTGCCAAGTAAATAACACTG